GGCGCCCCCCTTCGCCCTGGCCGCACCGGCCTCCCCCCGCACAGCCTGAGGGCCGCGGAGCGTTGACCCCAAAAAGTGAGCCCAGCTGCTGGATCCCGGAGCCGGATCCCAGGCCTTGAAGGTGAGCCTGGCGGGGAGGGGGACCAGCAGTGGAGGGGGGAGCAGGGTCCCCAGACACCGCAGGCAGGAAAACAGAGCGGGCTGCGGAGAAACCCGACGGGCCAGAAGGTTGAACCCTAGAGGGCAGGAGCAAAGGGGCTGGAGGAGGCCAGGGCACAGCTGGGCTGGGAGTGTGGGCAGAGCCCAGGGCTGGGGGGTAGGAGGGAAGGGCTGGAAGAGCAGGGGAGGGACAGGTCCAGAAGGAGCGGGCCCATGTGGAGGAACCCAAGGGGTCGCTCTGGGAGCAGTCCGCCCCGCCCCATAGCCCAGGGGACTAGAGGGAGAGTGTAAAGTGCCCCTCCCCCATAGGTGTCAATCAGCTTCCAAAACGGACGCCATTTCCAGTGCCCTGCCCACAGCGCTCGGAGCCCGGCTGGGGGGGGGCTGCCTCCCTTCCTCCTTGCCCCGCTGCCCCCCCCCCCGAGCCTGCCTCTTACCTTTGTTGGCACAAGCCATCCACTGCAGGGGGGTCACGTCGTAGTTGTGCTGCCCTGCCCCCAGCGCTCGGAGCCCGGCTGGGGGGGGGCTGCCTCCCTTCCTCCTTGCCCCGCTGCCCCCCACTCCGAGCGTGCCTCTTACCTTTGTTGGCACAAGCCATCCACTGCAGGGGGGTCACGTCGTAGTTGTGCTGCCCCACCGAGAAGGTGAACACTCGGACCTGGAGGAGGGGGGCGGCTTAGTAACGGGGGCACAGAGACAGGGATCTGCTCCCTGCACCGCACCCCGAGACGGGCCGTGTCTCCCGCAGGCTGAGGGCTCTCACGGAGCCAGCGGAGCCTCCATCCCTTGGACGACTGACACAGCCACGGACGACGGACACAGGAACAGGCAGCCAGAGAGGTGACTGAGCTGGGACGAGCACCCAGATCTCCTGCATCTCAGCTTTGTGCCCCCTCCACTAGGCAATACTGCCGCCGGCGCCCGTCCGCCATTCCACGCCTGGGTCTCCCACCGCCCTCGTTGGTTCCCTGCGTGCGCCCTGCATTCAGGGCCAGCCTGCGAAAGGCACTTAGGCGCCGTCCGGCTCCGCACTGCTCTGCCTAACTGATTTAGGAGCCTAAGTCCCCTTGGCTTTCAGTCAGTCAGGCATTGCTTTGCTCAGCGCTGCTACATCTCTGGCCTTACTTGCCTTGTGGGAGGGATGAAGGCAGTAAAGCCTGCTCTGTCAGCGGCTCAGCACGGGGCCCGTGACTCCTAAGATCTAGGACTTGGTTAGAAAGCTAGTCCCCGCTTAGGCCTGGTTTAACCAGTCACAGCTGCACCTATTCAATATTCCATACCGCTGGGGGGTCTATTCAGCCCTCTGCGTTCTACCACGCAGCCCGCAGCCCCATCTTAGAGAGAAGTGGGCACGACCGGTCCCAGCGTCAGCGATGCTTCTCCGGTCGCCCATTCTGGCAAACAGAGGTTAGGGACATCACCCCTGCCCATCCTGCCTAAAAGACTCTCTGAATGGATCCAGCTCTTTTTTGACCCTGTTATAGTCTTGGCCTTCACAGCATCCTCCAGCAGGGAGTTCCACAGGTCAACGCTGCACTGTTTGAAGGAATACTTCATTTGTTTGTTTTAAACCTGCCGTTTATTAATGTCACTTGGTGACTTCCAGTTCTTGTGTTATGAGGAGTAAATAACACTTCCTTATCTACGTTCTCCACACCCGTCATGATTTTATAGCCCTCCATCATGTTCCTCCTTGGCTGTCTCTTTTCCAAGCTGAAAAGCCCCAGTCTCATTAATCTCTCCTCAGACGGACGCCATTCCAAGCCCCTGATCAGTTTTGTCGTCCCTTTCTGGAGCTTTTCCAATGCCAAACATGACTATGGAGATGGGGCGACCACACCTGCATGCAGTAGTCAAGCGGTGGGCACGCCGTGGAGGCAATATACCGTTATGGGGCTGGAATAGCCAGGAGCACCCTCCCCAGCCAGTGCCCCTCCCCCTCCCCACAGCCCCCCCTGCTGGGCAAGGCTGGGAAGTGAAATTGCGGAGGCCCTTCCAAGGCACAAGGCTCCTAGCCCATTCCTCGCAGCTACTCCAGCTAGGAAAGCCACGGGGAAAAGCCCCAGGAACAAACTCGCAGCTCACAGCCGTCTGGTCGTCCGAGGGTAGGATGCCAACGCTCATACAGCCCGTGCTCATGGCAGCGCTGGAGCCGGGCCCGTGTCAGCAGGCCCCTGGGGGGCTGGTGCTGGAGCGCTCACCGTTTTGTTGGGCCAGTTGTACTTCTCAAACACATCCTGGACCCGGTCCTCCCCGCCGTCGGTGAACATCATGATCATCTTATTGCAGTTGGCGCGCGTGATGTTGGACTGCAAGTGAGAGTGAGAACCGGAGTGAGGGCAGTGCCTGGAGGGGACGGAGAAGGGCTAAACCAATGCATGGGCTCCTGCTATTGTACATGGCAACTAACTGGCTGGCCAGTGTGCCCTGCTGCTGGATGGGATCAGAACTACTCCACTGCGTGTCATATGCACTATACTGCTGACACTAGGGGAGATTCTCCTTTAGCTCAGATGGCCTGTGTTTGGCACACGGAGGCTGTGAGTTTTATCTCCATGATTGCTATGACAGGGCTCCCGCTGTTCTCCTGGCCCAGGGCTCTCCGCTGATATTCAGATCACATTGACCCCTTTTTGATCTCACCCCGTTCCTCTTCTCTGGATAACCGTGACCTACCCCTCCCGTACGCACCCTCACGGTGCGTCCGCCAAGCTCTTGTCCCTTCTGTCTTATCTGGAGCACCTGGGGCTGCAGGAGGAGAGGGCATACTTGTGTACAGTAGTGTTCATACGTCTACAGCAGCGCGTGTGCGCACATGTGGGTGTGCAGGAGTGTGTGCTCATGTGAGCCCGGCAACATTTGTGAGATTAATCTGCATCTCTGCAGGACCCAGCCATGGCCGTGACAAATCTGTTTTCCCTGCCTGACTCTCCCGGGTGAAGGTGGCGGAGGTGAGCTGGAGGTGGGGGCTGTCTGGAGAGAAATGATGTTGTGGCTATTCCCGCTCAGCAATGAATAGGGCTATCCATCTTTATCTGGCCCACCGCCTTGGCTTGTCTGAGCCCAGGCCACCCTCACTGGCCCCGCAAACTTTCTAAGGAAGCGCCAGAGGCAGCAGCAGATCCTGTGAAAACTGAAATCCCAAGTTCTGGAGGCTCCCCATCGATCCAGTCTGGGCTGCAGCAACTACAGGCCAAGCGCTGCCTCTGATGCCGAGCGACGGCCCGGGGTGGGGCCAGCTGTGTAGGGA